TTGGTGGGAAGAAGATAGGAATGCTTCACACAGTAGGTTAGTCCTCCTTTTGCATTACATCAAGGAACATATAATGTCTCCTCCTCACACTCCTTAGCGTTTCTAAGACTGGAACCTGGTGGCAGCCCAATCCCTCTAACTTAGTTGTCCATCATCATTTTTCCCATGATTTTACCCATTACTGTTGTTTTCTGAATTAATTCTATCATTAACCCATTTTGAGCCATTGTCCTGTATATTGGGCACCCATAAAGACTTAAATTGAGCAATAAACATACCACTGTGACAATTTTAAATAAATATTATGTTACTGAAATAGTCACAGAATTGAAACTTGGGGCATAATTGGTAAAGGTATACAAAATAATGAATTTTTAAGTCTTCTATCTGTTTCATATGTACTGTGGGAATTCTTCTACAAGAATAAATTCTGTCATATGTCATGGCTTTTTAAATTTGCCTAAAATATTTCATCCTAGAAATAAGTCAGTGTTTTAAACGTGTCCTACACACATAGTTAAATATGGATGGAGACTTGAGGTGCATGGACTGTGTAGCACACTGAGTGCTTACTTTCTGTGGGGTTGGGAAGCCTTTTGTAGAATGAAGCTATTTCTTAGTGGACTGCCATGAACATTGTTGATAGAACTTTATGTAGTTTATATTTACAGTGCTGATCATCTAGTAGAAGACCTTTTTCTGGTTCCAGATATACTTCATTTACATGAGTTGCCGGGTAATGAGTTGAGCTTAAGAAATGGGATTCTTCATTAACTCAGCAACCTGAACAGGATCTCTTTGCCAGAGCAGTAGAAAAAATAGCTTAATAAAACTCAGGAACAACGGTTGCTATTTATATTATTATTAATCAATCACCACTAATCTAATTTTTATTTAATACTGTGAATGAGGAAAAACCTGAAGAAGAAATAAAATCCAAATATTTCAGCTTTACACGACATGGTTGATTTTACCTGGAAAATCTTAAGCTTTAAAAACATTTTTTTAAAGGTGTATTTATTTGTTTGAAAGTCAGAGTTACACAGAGAGATGGAGAGACAGAGAGATAGGTCTTCCATCCATTGATTCACTCCCCATTGGCCGCAATGGCTGGAGCTGGGCTGATCCGAAGCCAGGAGACAGGCGCTTCCTCCAGGTCTCCCACGCGGGTGCAGGGGCCCAAGGACTTGAGCCATCTTCCACTGCTTTCCCAGGCATAGCAGGGAGCTGGATCGGAAATGGAGCAGCCGGGACTCAAACCGGTGCCCATATGGGATGCCGGCACTGCAGGCATCAGTTTTACCCACTACGCCACAGTGCTAGCCCCTAAAAACATTTCTTAAATAATAAAACTTAGTAAAATGCCAGTATCTTTATACCTTTATACTAGCAGAAAAACATGCCAGAAAAAGATCCTACACAGAATTGTAATAAAAATAATATAATACTTAGCAACAAAATTGAGAGAGATGATAGATCTTTGGAAAACAGATTAATATGCTTTAAAAAAAGATTTTTAAGATACATTGGAGAGAAAATGCCTGAATCAAGAATGTTGATAAATGATTGGACTAAAAGTGATTTATACACTTTTAGCCTTACTTGCAGCTTTCAGAATTCTTAGTGATTTATTCCATCTTGAAAGCAGTTATAATGCTTCAGGGGTAGACCTGTAATCTAGATAACAGAAAACATTTCCCTCCCGTGGAGATTTAGCTATTCATTTTCCTTGAACGTCTGACTTCATGGTCAGTAAGAATTAGGAGACACACCTGCATCCTGTGGCTTGCAGATTCCTCTGGTTCCTGACCTCATGTTTCTCCTCTTCTGTTGCGTGCCATCTGTGGTTTCTGCCCGTCTCAGTACCATGTGATGTTAGTCCCTTTCCTCCTTTCAAAAATGTAGCATGTTGAATTGAAAACTGAGTGGGTGATGGTCCAGCAAATTCTTTGCTTAGTCTTGGAGCAGAAGATGCTGTCCATATTCATCCCCTCCTTCTGCTCATCCTTTCCTAACCTAAATCAGTGATCTTGTAACTGAGCCATTGACTGCCTCAGATTTGTTAACCAATCCATGACTCTGTGTTTCCTCTCAGTTCCCGCACTTGTTTAGAAACACACGGCCTTGTGAGCCTGCAGTGACAGCCAAGTACATCCCCTGCCTCGTCTGGCAGAACGATAGACCGTTCTTGCTAAAACCAAGCTTTCTTACTGAGTGTGAGCTACTAGTCATTAGTGGCAATTCAGGAGAGAGTGTAGGTACACAGGGAAAAAACAGGCCAGACTACAGATGGCATGAGAAACATTGGTTGAGAGAGCAGATTGCTCAGTAACTTTCATAAAGAACTTAATATGAGTTGCTAGTATGTCTTAATAATATCTACTTAGAAGTGGAAGTAAAAATTGAATGCCAAGTCTTTGAATGCAGTGACTTAGGCTTTGTCTCTTGCTAGAGGAAAGAGGCAAAGGATCCGTAATGTACCGATATGAATAAGGACCTTAAAGGAACTCCTGGTCGCTTCCTGTATCTTGGGAGCTTGTTTCACCTTTTAAAAAATATTATTAATATAAAGGGGACAGGTTGCATGTATTTCATAGATTGAATTTTAAGACAATAACTATGCTTCTCGCCTTCAATCCCCCTCCTTCCTGCCGTTTTTCCCTTTACTGTTTGCAATAAGGTAAATTCAGTTTTCTTCATAATCACGTGCTTAGTGCACCGCTAGCCGTTTTGTTCAACAAGTGAAAAGCGTTTCATCTTTGTACCCTCCTTTGCCAGAGACTCAACCAACTGGCGGAGTCTTAGAGTAAAATTTCTTCATCTTTTTTGAGCTCTTTTTGGCATATTACACTACTTGTAACTGTTTTTACCCCTTCCCCTAACTTCAAAGACTTTGAAGATTCCAAAAAAAGTACAGTTGTTTTAAATTAAGTTTTTGTGTACATTAATATTCTTCATGCTAAAGTTTTAAAATCTCTTCCTGTTTTCACATGTATGCCTGATTCCCATATTCACAGTATTAACTTGAATTATTTGTGAAATATGGCTTTTTTACTTTTTACTGCTCTAATCAAGGCATAATCTGTCAGCTAAAGCATTGGTTTAATGAGAGAGAGTAATCATAAATCTTGAGTTTCCTATGTGTTTTCTTGTTGTGGTTTTGGCAACCCAATAAATGGATATACTGAGTGAAGTTCACCATATACTCTGTACAACTTGTTTTTGTTGTTGTTGTTGTTGTTGGTTTGTTTTGTTTTGTTTTGTTTTGACAGGCAGTTAGACAGTGAGAGAGAGAGAGAGAGAGAAAGGTCTTCCTTCCTTTGGTTCACCCTCCAAATGGCCGCTACAGCCTGCGTGCTGCGCCAATCTGAAGCCAGGAGCCAGGTGCTTCTCCTGGTCTCCCATGCGGGTGCAGGGCCCAAGAACCTGGGCCATCCTCCACTGCACTTCCGGGCCACAGCAGAGAGCTGGAAGGGAAGAGGAGCAACCGGGACTAGAACCCAACCCGGTGCCCATATGGGATGCTGGCACCGCAGGCGGAGGATTAACCAAATGAGCCACAGTGCCGGCTCCTGTACAACTTGCTTGGAGGACTAACACCACATTTTCAGAATTTGGAAGGAAATGAAATCAAGTACTTTGTAAATAGTTGTTGCGTCTTCTGATCATAGTGAGCTTACATGTTAGGTTTTTTTTTTTAAGTATAGACATCTGTTCCTTTATCCATATCATTGATCTGTTACTGATTTCAGCATTTCTTCTTTTTATTCTTAATTTGTCAAATTTGGGAAGACTTGGAAAATAGTTGCTATGTTTTTAAATCTGTAAGTTATAGGAAAAAATGAATAATAACCAGCATTTCTTATTTAAATTCTGTATTTTTAAAAATCAAATGAAAAGTACATATTTAGTTAACATGTGTGAGAAAGTCATACTGATAGAATGGCCTCTTCAATTTCTGTTTAATATTATGGTAATGATTTATTCAGTCAGAATTATAGATATACTTATCCATTCTATCCTTGATTTATAATGATCTCGTCTCTAAAAGATGAAAAATAAGTATTGAGGTAGATTACTTTTCATCTATATTAGCATTCTTATTTTTGTATCTGGTAAAATATTTTAAGATACGTTGTGTGATTTCCTGATCTTATAGTACTTCATTTCTTTTCAGGAGTTTGTATTATAATGTATTTATGGCATTTCTCATATATATTTGAAGGTACAGCTCTTTTAACCATTGTATTCTTATTATTTAATATGTGATCAAAGGTTTATATTGTTGATAATATCTTATATAACATAGTCTTAACTCCATACAGAATATTTGTAGGCTTCTAATCATTGCATTTTTAGACAAATTTTAGCCTTGAGAATATTGACTTATTAATTAGTAGTATTTTTATTCATCAAATTTTTATTTTAGTGCCAAGATCTATATAAGACTCTACAGATAAGAAGTCTGTTAAAAACAAAACCAGAAACCAAAGCTGAAATTCCTTTTCCTCATGGAATTTTTACCTTCTAGTAGATTGGCTCATACATGATTCTGTGGCATTTAACACCACTCAAAGGGCTACTTTCCTGTTAATTGTCAGGAAATGCATGTCATTATTTGAAGATATAGAGGCAGGACACAATTTTTACTAGCTCTTTTCAGCTCACTGCTTTTCAGTGAGTTCAGCTGTACTAATTATTTTTAATAGGATTTGCAGTTATGATCATTTGGTGACCTAGACTTTTTCCATATTTTTCTCAACCTCCCAGTTTCCCAGTGATGAGGTAAATGTTGAACAAATACCTTAATGTTTTGGATTTAAGAATATTTGAAATGTGTAGTATTTTTAGGAAGTAATTTTTGAAAGAAGAGAATATTTTAGGATATCTGTGATTTTGTCCAATATTTTTCAGAACCTCATTTCATAATATAGAAAGATAAATTTGATCCCAATGATAATGATTGCAGTATAATCTTTTACTCTTCTCTCCTCCTTCAGGAAAATCTTAAAATTCCAACATGAGAAGATTATAAAGAGGTCCCTCCTGTGCCAGGAAAGATCTGCAGATCTTTTTCAGTGTTCTTGGAGGTGTGGGGTGTGAGCACTTGATCAGTGTGTGTCAGCCACCTTGTTCTCTCAAGGTAAGCACGGTCTAGCGAGAGCACACTCCTGGGCCCAGGCTCCTGAGGCAGGACTGGTTTTGGAATGCTCCATCGAGGGTTTGAGACCATCACGTGTTCCTCCCACATCCATCAAGAGCTAGTTTCCCTTGTTCAGAAATGAGGTATGCCCTAAGGATCTGTGGATTTTTTTTAATCCCAACTATAGTGAAGCTTGTTTTCCAGTTCAGTCTGCATCTAGGTTAGTAACTGCTGCGGTTAACCTCACTAGGAACTCTTGGATATTTTGAGATTTGCATTCAAAAATTTTGAAACAATGACAGCAATTAAGCAGTCTGGTGACATAGTAGCTTAAATTGATATAACCAGTTTTGAAGAATTGGCTTTTCTTGATCTTTGTAAAGCTGTCTTGCCTTTACTTCAAGAAAAGTCCTGGAAATCATTTTGTAATCTGTACTAAGCTTCAGAAAGCGTGAAGCAAAGGCCTTCTTAATCTTTAAAAGGTACATGATCATAAACTTTCTTATGTCAGATCCTAATTGAAAAAAAATCATTTGAACATTTTAAATCAGCAGTGTGGAGCTCCCCTGTGTTAGGGTTTCTTCCCCATCATCAGGAAACGAACCAGTATGCTGCTTCTGGCGGCGAAGCCTGATGAAGGATAAATAAATTAATGCGTCTGCTTCAAACTAAAATATCAGAAAACCATATTTTTCTCTTGCACAGTTTATTATATCCTTTCAAAGTGACCAATGCCAAATTAAAATGTCATTAGGATATCATGTCGTGACTGTGGAGAATGAAAGCATGCTAATTCTGAAAATGTCACCAGTATTAGAAGTAGCTCAGTGTCAGGTGGAATAGCTTTGGCTGCCACTAAGACAGTAAATGATTGTAATTTCCAGGATGCTGTAGTGTTTTGTTGAAAATGGGGACTTAATGTGCTGATGAAGAAATTAAATCTGTTCATTTAATTTCATTCATCTGTTTTTAAAGCTTTTAAGGTGATCTTGGAAACTAGTTTTACAAGATATGAATGTTTTACAGACCATTAATTTGGGGGAGAAATCTGATTTTTGTGTGGCAGCTGTATTTCTGATAAATGATAAATTTGTCTCTTAAATCATTTTCTTAAATATGTATAAAAAAGATATTAAAGAGGAAACGTACCCATTATGTATGTTGTTAGAATGAGAAAAAAATATGACATAGACTTATTTTGGAAAAGTCTTGAGCAGCAGTTTTGCTTTTCATATGCAAACAGAAGAGGAGCTTGCACTGGTTTTACTGATTATTACTGCAGGCAACTTCAGTAGGGTTAACTCTTTACAGTAGATAGGGTATAGTTAATAATTGAGAAGAAATAACAAGTTATTAGGTGTTTAATCTGTATATTTATATACAGTTTTGTTTGAATTTTTATTTGTAAGATACTTTTAAATCATTTTGGCCTTTATAATGGCATGAAACAGAATGGACAAATGTATTAACTCTTGACCAGTTGAGCAAAAACTGTGAATGAAAACCCAAACCTACTGACAGTGTAAGGTGGGCTTTAAGGATAACTAAACAAATTGTTATTTCTTACCCTAACTATAGCTTTATTTTACTGAAATTCTTAATCTAAAATATCTCCCCCATACATACCCTTTTTAATAACTGATTTTTTCTATCAAAGTATTGGTAGTATGTTTTAGTAAAAGAACAATGTATTTCACCATTTTAGAGTTACTTTCCTACTTTCAGATCAGTGACTTGAACCACTAAGAGCTTGTGTGCTGTATCTAGAAATATCAAAAAATATGATCTTGTCCTCAAGATTCTTAGTAATTATTTACACCACCTCAATTTATACTAGGGAACAAAATCAAATATTGTCCCATGATCTTGATAATATGTAGAAGTTAAATCTGAGCACAATGATACTGAAGGATTCTCCCATTGAAACTAAGGTCTGGGAGATGATTCTTTTGTGTGTGCATAAACACATCTACATACATAAACACATCTACATGCATAAACATATCTATACACATAAACATGTCTACATACGTAAACACATCTACATACATAACTTATCTACAGTTATTTCCTTTTTTGAATAACGTATGAATTGTCAAACGTGAAGTTTCCGACTTCTCTTTCACTAGTGTGTGGGTGCTGTGTTCGTTTTTGTTTTTAAAGTGGTCGCAGCCAGTCCGCACAAACAGCCATTGCTGCAGGTGATCGTGCTCCCTGCCTGCTCATTACTGCTCTCTTGAGCTGGAGGGAGGTGAGAAAGGCGGCTCTGGATGTTTTCCAGTATTGATTTTTAGAGATGAAGAACTGGGAAACTGAAGCCCGGCCCCCTCCGTGGAGCCATCTAGACCAGCACTGTCCATTAAAAAAAAATTCAGGCCACAAACATGAGCTACATGCATAATTTTAACTTTTCTAGTAACCACACTAAGAAAGCAAAAAGAAACAGGCAAAATTTAATTGCACTTTCATAATTATTCCATATATCCAAAATGTTATTTCACCATGTAATCAGTATAGACATCTGTGAGGTATTTTACTTTTTTCAGTGAGCATGCAGAATCCGGTATGTGAGTTCTACTCAGCACAGAGTGTATTGGACCAGCTGGAGTTCCAGTGCTGTGGCCACCTGTGGCCAACAGCTGCCATGTTTGAAAGCACAGATCTGGACAAAGAACGGAGCTTTCATTTTAGCTTCTCTCACGCCAGAGCCTGTTGGGTAACTCAGTGGGCTCCACTGGTTTAGAGTTTCCAGATTTAAATCACAGAAAGCAAAACAAAACAAAACAAAATAGGAAGCCAACTCTAATTTGAATTTCAGGTAAATAGCAAATAATTATTTAGTGTAATTGTGTTCCAGGCCGTATTTGGGACTCCAAAAAAGTTGTTATTTATCTAGCTTCAAGTTTAACCAGGTGTCTCGTATTTTATCTGACAACCCTGCTGGGGTCTAACTCGAGTGGAAGGCGTCAGTCACTGGGCTGCCCAGAAGCTAGTTGTAGGACTAGATTTAGCAAATGTCTTCCTCTGAGGAGAATCTTGATAGCCCTCTGAAAATCAGTGTGCAAGCCAGAGACGACTGATAGCCCATTTCTTCATAACTGTCTAGGATGTCTAAGACACAAGAAAGGGTTTATGTTATAAAACTTGATCCTTACATATTTAAACATTTTAGATCTGGATTATTATATTAAAATAGAAGGTTTATGTAATTTTATAAATTAAGTGGTTTGTTAAGCTTAAAAAGTATAATTTGGCTAACAGTGCATCACTAGAACTGCATTTTCTTAAAAATAAAAATGTACCCTTAGTCTTGAGCTCTGTAGTGTTCAGAGTCCTCAGTAGTTCAGCGTAGTTTCCTGCCACTGGTTACACTGCAGCTGTCACATAGCTCTCAGGTTGGCAAGACTTAACACAAAGTGCCAGCTTGATGAACACCAGGAGAAGACTTGCTTGACAAGTATATAAGTACTTGTAATTCTTGGCTCTGATATTAGCAGCTATATCCTGACCCAATCCAAAGTCATTTCTTCTACCAGCATCTTGCGTTTCTCCTAAGATTTCTTTCACAAAGGAACATCTTTCCATTTTTATTATGGAATTTTTAGTATGTTTATTTTAAGCAAACACTTTTTTTGAAGCATGTAACGACTGCTTTAGTAGTGTGGATCTAGGCTTTTTCAGCTCTGTCGAAAGGGCTGTTCATGTCCTCTAGGGACAGTACCTATAGCAGCCCCACACTCACCCTCAGGGGGAGCTCTTGCCTCATGAGGATGAATGACTGTAGGTGAGCCCTTTGGTACTGCCTGTACCGTGTGCACCATTCCCAGCCGGACAGGTGGGTGCTGCCAGTACTGGGCATCCGGTTAGCAGTTCAGAGCTGAAGCAATGGCGCATTCCAAATCCATGCACACTTAGGAGAATGTGCCCAAGAGTGTGGGTATGTTGATAATTATTGCATTTCCTTCAGAGAACAAGTGTTACAGGTAAGGCTGTGCGTGTGTGTGTGTATGTGTGTGTGTGTTCCAATAATTACCTTTAAATAAAAAAATTTAGGATCTAAAAGTGTTGCCCTTTCCCCAGAACAGTCACTGCAAATATCTCAAACATAGCCTTCGTTATTTAACACAAGTATTTTCTTTCCTCACTCTAAGAAGGGATGGATGCTGTGCGTGTGAGGTTGAAGGGGGAGAAAGCTTATTGTCATTTGAGAGCTGTGAATGTCACACTTTTCCATGTCTAGAAATATCTTAGAACCTTGTTTAGCCTAACTTCTGATGTCTAAAGTATAAATTATTTTGTCAAGTTAACACCTCCATCTATATATAAGTAAAAGTGTTCAGCCTTTCTTAGCTAATGTCTTGAACAGCACTGGGTTGTGTTTGGGTTTTCACTTTTATTCTAAGACTGACTTCCTTTTGTATAAAGGCTTTCACCTCATTGCTGAAACCACAATTTAAAGCTACAAAGGATCTTAAATATAGTCTCCCAGGGACCCTTGGATGAGCCTGAGAGTCTAGGAACCCCTGAAATTATAGTCATATTTTGTATATGTGAGGGGACTTCAAAAGTTCATGGGAAATGGAATTAGAGAAGGTAATTTGTATTTTCCCATAGATTGATTTCCAAGATTCCTCAATCTGTTTTTGCTGGGGGAATGTCCCCAGTTTTCATCACACTCTCAAAGCGTTGGTAGCAAACAACCATTGACCTCATATATAATGTGGTCATTTTACTAGTACTGGGATTCATAGACTTTGAAACTTTGCCACACTGCTGCTGGGTTCTTATTATGTGAAGGAAATAACTTATTCAGTTGGTCATGAAATATGTAGGTAGAGAGAACGGTGAGAACACTCTCCTTGCCCTCACAGAACCTAGTGTTTGCTCAAGCTGGAGTGTTGCAAAGGGAAGACGGAGTAATCGCTGCCTTGAGCCCTTGAGCCGGAGCCCGAGAGCAGCACCGGGGGCTGTTTCAGATTGCATAAGTGCAGCTTTTACGGAACCTGAGGCATCCGCAGGAGTTGGTAAGACAAAGAGGGAAGGCAGAATGCACTGGACACAGCAGTTGTGAGAGCCCTGAGGGAGAAAGAGAGCGAGGCACCATCAGGACAGAAGATTGAGGGAGACATGACAAAGTGACCCTGCACAGGAAGCGTCTCACAAGCTGTCGATGTTTGTTCTTTGGGCTTTACTTTAAAAGCAGTAAGAGACATTGACACGAGATTTATATTATTTTCTGAAGCTTCCGAATAAAGCCTGTTACTTGTGTAGAACCGTGAGGATATTGTTAAATACACAGTTCTGTAAATTTTCACAAAGTGCCGACACCTATATGACTGGCACCCAGATGAACAAACAGAACATTACCAGGATCCCAAAAGTTGCCCCAAACCTTTCCTTCCAGTCATATCTGCCACCAACCCACCAAGAAGACCTCTTGCATGCCTTCCTGCTGAATAGGTGACACTGATGTGTTGTACCCGGCTGTCTTCCTGCTGTATAGGTGACACTGCTGTGTTGTACCCGGCTGCCTTACAGCAGTATAGGTGACACTGCTGCGTTGTACTTGGCTGTCTTCCTGTTGTAGAGGTGACACTGCTGTGTTGTACCCGGCTGCCTTCCTGCTTGTATAGGTGACACTGCTGTGTTGTACCCGGCTGTCTTCCTGCTGTATAGGTGACACTGCTGTGTTGTACCTGGCTGCCTTCCTGCTGTATAGGTGACACTGCTGTGTTGTACCCGGCTGCCTTACAGCAGTATAGGTGACACTGCTGTGTTGTACCTGGCTGTCTTCCTGCTGTATAGGTGACACTGCTGTGTTATACCTGGCTGTCTTCCTGTTGTATAGGTGACACTGCTGTGTTGTACCCGGCTGCCTTACAGCAGTATAGGTGACACTGCTGTGTTGTACCTGGCTTCCTAACAGCAGTATGGGTGACACTGCTACGTTGTACTCCTGCTGTATAGGTGACACTGCTGTGTTGTACTTGGCTGTCTTCCTGCTGTATAGGTGACACTGCTGTGTTGTACTTGGCTGTCTTCCTGCTGTATAGGTGACACTGCTGTGTTGTACTTGGCTGTCTTCCTGCTGTATAGGTGCTATTGCCCACGTTGTACTTGGCTGCCTTCCTGCTGTAGAGGTGACACTGCTGCGTTGTACCTGGCTGTCTTCCTGCTGTTTAGGTGACACCGCCTGCATTGTACTTGGCATGAAGAGGAGCATATGTAATTGAACATTAATTTGAATGAAAGAGGACAGAGCGGTGTGATTATGATGTGTCCATATTGTTGTGCATGGTTGCTCATCCTTCTCAGGACTGTGATGTTCTGTTGTATGAATGCACCACAAGACAGATTCTCTGAGATGGCTGCAGCCACCCCGTGGAGGATAGAAAGGAAGATGTGAAGTCAGTAAGAGTGACTGGGCTTGAGCTAGTGAGGTGACTGTGGTTGAAGAGAGGTGGGCCTGTGAGAGATGTTTGTGAGTTACAGTTGCCAGGTTGCAAGGTAATTGCACAAGAAATACAGAGACATTAAGGGTAATTCAGGGTTTCTGATAGGTAGGGATTGAGGATGGGACCCTTTATTCAGTTTATAAACTCTAGAGAGCAAGTGGATATTTGCATTTTAGTAATAGGCAGGAATAGTAAATTCAGTTTCTGATATATTTGATGTACCTGTGAAACATACAGGTCTACTTGACTCAAATAAATAGCTATGTATTAACTAAATTAATGAATAACTTTATAATAGCCGTGCTAACAAAGAGTTCTACATGTGCAAAACTTCACATCTTCTCACTATTCATCACCATAATTCCCATTAGATGCTCTTTTTCTGTTTGTGGGGTGGTTTTGTCTCATCTAAAATTTTTTTCCTTTTATTCATATAGTATACTTCCCCTAAAGTAGTGCTAATTTATATGCAAAAGAGTAGCACTTCCTATATATAGAATATGAAAATCATTGTTAAAATGCCTTTGTACTTAAAAAATTGTGCTCTCATTATTATAGTCTTTCCTTTAATTAGCACAATAACAACACCTTCAAGTGAGTTTGTTAACTGGAAACAGCCCAGCTACTAGGCAAGACTTTAATGGACTGAAACAAACGTTCATTCAGTTTTGGTAGGGAAGCAAAGGAAGATTATGATGTGGTATGCCTGAGTACAAGCATGGGCAGGGAGCCGCAGGCTGAACCCTAAGCACGGCAGGTTGAAAGCATTTGGTTTTGAAGGGCTGGCGACCTTAGGGGCCTCTGCAGCTTCACCGTGCTCCCTAAGACCGGTCGTAAGGTTGGGAAATTTTATGTGACGGTAAATGCTGAGTGTATCACTGAATGAAACAAATGCCTGAGGTGCTGTGCAATGCTAAATAAATGCAGTGGTCTACCCAGTTTACACCAGTCATTTCTTACTTGGTGCCATATTTAGGCCACAAAATTTGAACTCATATCAAGTTTTTTATTCTCCCATGATGTCATCAATGTTTTTTTAGTTCATAGTTTTACCTAGCTTTGAGTTTTGCTACTTATCAGATAGCATAGGTATTTTTTATTTTTATTTATTCTCATTTTTTGTTTGAAGACAGAGATAGAAATCTTAGATCTACTAGTTTACTCCTCAAATGCCCTTGATAGCCAATGGTAGCCCAGGCTGAAACCAGGAGCCCAGAGTCTTCCACGTGAATGTTAGGGATCTTGAGCCAACATATGCCTCCTAGGGTGTGCTTTTTTTAGATTTATTTATGTATTTATTTCAAAGTCAGAGTTACACAGAGAGAGAAGGAGAGGCAGAGAGAGAGGTCTTCCATCCGCTGATTCACTCCCCTGTTGGCCATAATGGCTGGAGCTGTGCCAATCCAAAGCCAGGAGTCAGGAGCTTCTTCCAGATTTCCCACATGGGTGCAGGGTCCCAAGAACTTGGGCCATCTGCTACTGCTTTCCCAGGCCAATGTGGAGAGCTGGATTGGAAGTGGAGCCGCCAGGACTCGAACCAGCGCCTGTATGGGATGTCAGCACTCCAGGTGGTGGCTTTACCTGCTATACCATAGCGCTGGGCCTGTAGGATGTGCTTTAGCAGGAAGCTGGGTGGGAGGCCAGGGAGCTAAGACTTGAACCACTCATTCCAGTATGGGAACGTGCATCTCAAGGAGTGGCTTACCACTGCACAGACAGGCTTTTAAATTAGATGCTCAGTTCATTTTGTTGAATGTTTTTCTTTTGAGATCTTGTCTTAAAATCAGGTTTACATCAAGCAACCAAAACAGCATTATCAGAAACCATTTAAGTTAGCATTCAGTTATTTAAGTTATTTATTAAATATGTATCATATTTACAGTCGTGCTATCAGCTAAAATGATAAAAGAAGGAAGTATTCTTGCCTTTCGGCACTGGCACTGGCACTACAGTTGGGAGTCTCAGTATGATTTATTATGTGGTTCACTGAATGGTGTTAAAAAACCAGCGCCGTGGCTCACTAGGCTAATTCTCCGCCTTGCGGCGCCGGCACCCCAGGTTCTAGTCCCGGTCGGGGCGCCGGATTCTGTCCCAGTTGCCCCTCTTCCAGGCCAGCTCTCTGCTGTGGCCAGGGAGTGCAGTGGAGGATGGCCCAGGTGCTTGGGCCCTGCACCCCATGGGAGACCAGGAAAAGCACCTGGCTCCTGCCATCGGATCAGCGCGGTGCGCTGGCCGCAGCGCGCCGGCCGCGGCGGCCATTGGAGGGTGAACCAACGGCAAAGGAAGACCTTTCTCTCTGTCTCTCTCTCTCACTGTCCACTCTGCCTGTCAAAAAAACAAAACAAAACAAAACAATGAATCAGGGGAAAAGAATTGTGGGATATGATATCAAAAAATGTATGAGAATGATAGGATTTCAGTCTTGACAGGTAGGATTCAAAGGTGTGCAAGAACACTCACTTCAGATAGGTAGCATCTCATGAGAAAAGATGCAAGGAAAAAAACAAAAACACATGGCATGTGTTGGGCATGGGAGACACTTACCAGGTTGTAGAAGTCCAAAGCTGGTATGAGGAAAGAGAAGGAAGTGTTGTTAAGGCTTGACCAAAATTGGAAGAAGCTTTGCATTACTCAAGAATTCATCAGCTATAAGAGCATGGGTTATTATCTTCATTTTTAGATCATTTGTAGGTATAATTTACTTGCCACCATATAATAATTACGTTTATCTTCTTAGAAAGCGTATATGAAAAGAACTGGAGGAGTGACGTGGTTGTGCTTTAGTTCAGAGTGTCTTGACTTGGGGAGTCTGGATAACTGAGATTAGGGAAAAAGTTTGAATGTGTGTCTTTTTTTGGAGAATGTTCCATTACCTTTATTAAAGGATCTAGCAACCCAATAGAAGTTAGTACAATAGCTCTAGTTCTCCTACATTAAAACATTTTGAATCTAATTCCTTTGTATTTTTCTTATACGGGATTAAAATAGGGAAATTAACACACATTAAATGCTGCAAGCTTTCTTTTTCACTCAGTATTTATTAGCACAGTATTTAAGAACGACTCCTGAAAAATGTATCAGTAGATTGGTTATGTAACCATAGCAAGTGGCTATTTTATCAGTTCCACTGACTTCAGGAAAAGGTCAATTAAATTACTTTTTTAGATACAGGCATATTTCTGAATATGCTATTTTGAGTCTGAATTTCTTCCTATTTTTGGACTAATATTATAAATCATGTTTCTGCAGCATATGAAGCATTTTAAATCAATGTCCAACTTTAATTCAGAAATCTGACTCACCTGGATCATACTTAATCTTCTGTGTACCTGGCAAAGAGGAAATTAACGAAGTGTGGCCTGTGGGCCAAATCCAGCCCCTATCTTGTTTTCATATGGCTTACAACTTAAGAATTATTTTTATATTTTCAGAATATAATTAAATAAACAATATTGGAAAGAAAAGGAGATTGTAAATTGTTAGAACTGTGGAAAACAAGAATATGCAACAGAAACTGTATGTGGACTCCAGGGCCTGAAGTATGTATTCACTGGTTCCTGGTTCTGGTTTGTTTTGTTTTTTGCCTACTCCTTGATTTAAAGTCATTCAGATTTATAAGCTTTCCCAAATGCATGTATTATTCTATAAGCAGACACATTACCATGGATAGATGGTAATTTGAAGCTGAGTATGTGTTTGTATAATTCTAGCAAAGTTGATTAGGTGAGTTAAACTGTTTTCTGTATTGTGTAGTCAGATACTAGTTCAGCTTTATAAAATCTGGAGTTGAAAGTGTAGGAACAAAATCTGGGCTTAATGATCCATTTCAAAGACCCATATGAATAGAAAGATTTGTTCTTCATAAATGTTTCATACAACTACAGTTCTCAATTGAAAAATATTAAAATATCTTCACTTTTTAAGATTTATAGATGACTTAAAGGCAAGACATTTAATTGATCATGTGTCGGGCAGGGCCAAGTCTGTCTTTCACTGGTGTATTCCGCAGTTATTTTCAGAACCTTGAAGTATATGTCAACTTCTTTTTTATGAAAAACTGTATTTCTGACTTTTAGATAAATACCTTTGCAACTATTAAATGTCCTAATTAATGAGTCACAGAGCTTGGGACAGCTCTGCCTTCTCTCTCAAGCGTCACTATTTTTCCTTCATTACTGGATCTTTTCCACCAACATATAACGCTAATTTGTTTTTCTCATCTTCCAAAAACCGTGCTTGCGATTCTCCCTGTGGGAACTGCCACGTGTCCGTCTGTGTGTGTACAGCAGCAGTCTTCCAAGCAGCCCCTCCTCTTTCTGAATGCAGTGTCTGTGACGTGCACCTTCACCCTTCGCTGAGAGCTCAGCGGTGCTGGGCCCGAGGCTGAGGTCTTGGTGGGCTCACTTCACCTGACAGCACAGAGCGCCTTCCTGGCCGACTCTCAGATTCAGCGCGCCC